ATGCTTCTGTCCAATAGGGCCTGGCCCGGCTTGTTTTCCTTGCCATTGTTTCATAGGTTTTGGACGCTTCTATCGCTGCGATGCATTGGTTGAGCGTTGGTGCCGTCGTTTGCTTCCAATTTCTGCTGATGGTAGTGAGGGCTGCTATACATATGTGGTATAGTAGGTATTTAGTGTGCCTGTGTTGTGTTGGGGGAAGTAGTAGTAGCATGAATACTTCCGGTAGGAGGGAGATATGTAGTTCAGTACATCTCTTTATTAGGTCTAGGACTTGTGACCAGTAGTTTTGCAGTAGTGGACATTGCCACCATATGTGCAGTAGGGTGCCTCGGTCTCGTAGGCACCGCCAGCATTTGTCTGAAATATTCGGGTAGCTGTGTTTAAGTCTTGTTGGGACTAAGTACCATCTGTATAATAGTTTGCGGGAGGTTTCCATGTGTGATGTGCATAGGGTGAGTTTTTTGTTGGCATGGAGTATGGTACTCCATTGGTCACTCGTGAGCTTGTGTCCTATATCCCGTTCCCATGCCGTTTGGAAGGAAGGCGGAGATGCTGGGGCGTCCGAGTTCGCTGAAGCGTAGATTCTTGAGATGAGTTTCTTTGCTGGCTTGACTTTGGTGCAGATTTGTAGCAGGTTGAGCCAGTGTGGATCAGGTGGGGCTGCCGTTTGTTGCGGTTTATTAAGTTTTATCCAGGATTGTAATTGATTATAGGAGAAGGTCGCTGTCTTGGTTAGCTTGTATTCTGTACATATATCTGTAAGGGGCTTAAGGCGGTCTCCCTGCAGTATTTGCGATAATGTGTTTATTCCATGTCTCTGCCAGAGTTTGTAGTTGAAGTCTGGGATAAGATGTCGTAGTGTTTCCATCGGGGTTGCTGGTGAGAAGGATGTCGTTGTTCCTTTTTTCCGGTGATAGTCATCCCATATGGAGAGGGTTAGGTGGGTGGTTGGCAGTAGTTCTGATGTTTTAGGTCGGAGGTTTGTCGGTATCCATGCCAGAGCTGGGAGGGAGATCCCCCTGGCGTGGCTCCTCTCCAATTCAACCCAGGCCAAGGGGGTCTGGCTGTGCGATGCTGCAATGAGTGGGGCGATGTGGGCAGCTTTGTAATATTTCTCTATTTCCGGCAGGCCCATTCCGCCCTGGTCATGGGGTTTGTACATCGTGGTTGATGCCACTCTTGGTTTTTTGTAGTCCCATATGTATTCATTTATACTGCGTTGCAGTTGCATTAAGTAGTGTTTGGTGAGTTTGAGTGGGAGTGTGCGGAATAAATATTGGATTTTGGGGAGAATCACCATTTTTACTGAGGCTATTCTGCCTGTCCAGGATATGTATTTCCCCTTCCATCCATGTAGTAGAGCTTTGATTTCCGCGTGTAATTTGGTGTAGTTTGCCTTGAATAGTGTATTGGTTGAGGGGGTGAAGTGGACCCCCAGAAATTTGATGTGGTCATGTCTCCAGTCATACTTAAAGTGCGCCTTAAGGTTAGTCATGTCTGATTTTGGGATATGGATGCCCAGGGCTAAGGTTTTGGAAATGTTTAGTTTATAGTATGAGCATGCGCTAAAGTGGGATAGGATTTTGTGAAAGTTGGGCAGGGATATGTGTGGCTGTTCCAACGTAAGCAGGATATCGTCCGCAAATAATGACATTTTGTATTCTCGACCTTTGGTCTTGATCCCGTGTATATTCGGGTCGTTTCGTATTAATTGGGTGAGGGGTTCGAGCGTTAGTATATAGAGTAATGGGGAGAGTGGGCAGCCCTGTCTAGAGCCGTTGGATATTTGGAAGGATTTTGAGATGAATCCCCCGTTGACCACCTTGGCTGTCGGTAGGGAGTATAGTGCTTGAACGAGTGCTAAGAACTGCGGAGGGAATTCAAATTTCTGGAGTATTGCCCTCAAGAAGGGCCAGTGCAGCCTATCAAAGGCCTTTTCCGCGTCTAGGGATAAGAGGACACTAGGATTTTTACTCTCCTGTATCTCATAGAGTAAGTCTAGCGTTTTCCTAGTACCGTCTGCCCCCTGTCTGCCCCCGACAAATCCCACCTGGTCCTCCTGTATCAGGGAGGGTATAATTTGCGCTAGTCTATTAGAAAAGATTTTTGCTATAATTTTTACATCCGTATTTAGTAGGGAGATGGGGCAGAGATTTTGGCATCTATTCGGGGGTTTCCCTGGTTTAGGGAGAGTGGCTACGTGGGCCATCAACATCTCCTGTGGAAGTTGTCCTGTTTGTATGGCATGGTGGTATACTCTTTGTAAGTAAGGTGCTAAAATTGGTGCGAATTGTTTGTAATAGGTGTTTGTCATACCGTCTGGGCCTGGTGATTTCCCTGGTGGCAGAGATTCGATAGTATCTGTAATTTCTTGTACCGTGATCTGGTGTTGTATGGTGGCTTTTTGGGTGGTGGAGAGTGTTGGGAGTTCCACCGTTTGGAGAAAGTCATCAATTTCCCTAGGAGTTGGTTGGTGCAGGGTAAGGTCTGTGTTGAGGTTATATAGAGAGTGGTAATAGTCGGCCATACTGTCATTAATGTCTTGTGGGTTGTGTATCTTTTCGCCTGTGGTTGTAATCAGATGTGGGATTTTAGAGTTTGTCTGTTGTTTTTTAAGCATAGTAGCTAAAAGTTTCCCTGCTCTATTGCCCTGGGTGTACGTTCTGAGTTTCAGTTTTGTCAAGATGTGGGTTGTTTTTTGAAAGGTCAGTGCATTAATTTGGTTGGTGATGTCTTTTATTTCTTTTTCTTGTATGTCAGTTGGGTTCAGTAGGTGAGCAGACGTGGTATCTCTCAGCTTTCGTAGGAGATCCATGTGCTCTTTTTCTTGCTTGCGTTTAAGGTATGATGCTCGGCTGATAAGGTGACCCCTTATGACTGTTTTGTGGGCCTGCCATATGGAGAAGATAGAGGCCTCCGAGTTGTCATTTGTCTTAAAGAAGTTTACCAATTCTAAACCCAGTGAGGTCGTGAATGTCTTGTCATGGAGGAGGGAATCATTGAGGCGCCATGGCGGTTTGCCTCGGTGTAGGTAATTGGAGTTTAATGTCATCATCAGTGGGGCATGATCAGACCACACTATGTTACCTATTGAGCAGTCCTCTACGCGTGGGAGCAGAGTACCGGAGGCTAGTATGTGGTCAATTCTTGAATACGTTTTGTGTGCTTGTGAGAAGAATGTGTAGGATCTGTCTGAGGGGTGTTTTGTCCTCCAGACGTCATATAGGCTATTTTCATGGATAAGTTTCGTAAATGCTTTATTGTGAGGACCTAATTTGAGATGTTTGGATGAGGTGCTTGGGGATGTCGAGTCCATACGAGTATCCATAGTGTGATTATAATCTCCACATAGGATCTTGGGGTAACTTGTGTCGTCTGGCAGTTTATTGAGGATTTTGTGTAGGAAGTTCCGTTGGTGGTCGTTCGGGCTATAAAGGCATACTATGATGTATGGGTAGTCATTGATTCTGCATTGCAAGATGATGTATCTTCCTTGAATATCTTTTTTGACCCGTAGTGTTTCTACAGTTAGGGAGTTGTGGAATAATATAGAAACTCCTCTAGATTTGGACGTATGGGTTGCGTGGAATTGTGTTGGGTAGTCCCTGTGGGCAAACTGAGGGACCCTATTGTTTACGAAGTGCGTTTCCTGTATACAGACTATGTCTGCTTTGGTGCGTTTTATGTCATCTAGTAGCAGTCGACGTTTATGTGGCGTGTTAAGGCCTTTGGTATTGTGTGAGTAGATGATCATGTTCGTTTGTACTTAATGCTGTGCGTGAAGAAGTTGATATATAGCTCTGTGGCGTGAATTGGCTCTCCTGTGTGTCACTATGTCGGGGGGGGGCAGGGTTGTGTGGGCGGGGTGGGGTGTTATAGAGGGATGGTGCTATGTACAGAGACCGTATGGTCTGGCACGCTAGTCGCGCCGTGGGGTTGAGGAGCTGGAGCTTCCAAGTACGTGGCTAGTGGGCTCCAAGTTGTGTGTTGTGATGGAGCTGAAACCATGTGTGGTGAAGTGGCAAACATTATAACATATGAACAGTAAAATATAACAGTAAATATCATCATCGAAGAGGCAAGCAAGTAACAATGTGTCATTTGACGTTATAAACCAAGTTGGGCCCCGTAAGTCTTACTCCAGTGATCATTTCGTCTATTCCCATTTTCCCCGGGTTCACCTACATTTGTAACGTTAGTTTGGAAGGGGGCTCTGCTCTATCCCTCAGGGCCATTATTGTTCGCTTGGTATGTTGCCCTAGGCTTGGGTTCCCTTAGGTGGGGGTTTACTTCATATCCAGGAAGCAGATGTGGAGAGGCCTAGCAAGTCTGTGTTTTCCGTTGAGTGCCTATGTGCTGGCTGGCTTGCGGGTGCCTTAGAGTGACCCAGAGCATTTTAAACTTTCAGTAGCCAAAGGCCCGGTGTAGTAATGTGGCACGGAGCTCATGCGTGCCAGTAAGGTAGGGTTCGGTAAAGTATAGATTGGTTAGTCGGCCCTTTGAGTCTCTAAATTTTCCACCCAATCCCTGCTATCTTTTTTAGTAAAGTGGGCATATTGGTTGCGGGGGTGGGAGCCTTTTAGTGCCGTTAAGGCGAACATGTGCCTGTCCCAGGGTTCCCCGGTTCCGTATCCCTTCTACCATATGCTATGTGCCCCTCGTTCTCTATGTTCAATGGCACTATCCTGTGCTGTTGTATTGAAGTTAGGGGGATAGACCTGAGCTGATGGCGTAGGATAGGATTTTTTATTTTTTTATTTTTTTTTCCTTCTTTCTTTGGGCATCACCTGTGCAGCACCTATCCCAGTTTTGCCCCTAGGTGAGTTCCCGTGGGATTGATGGGTTGCTGGGGTAGACACATCAGGGGGAGAGACCTTCTATAGGGGTGGTGTTAAGACAATATTCATACATAGTCAGGTAATAACTTGGTCATAAAGGAGCGCATGTGGTTAAACGGTGATACTTGCGTTGAGCATAGCTGTCTTTTCCAGCCAGGTATGTCAGTTCATGTCTATGGTGCGGCTTAAGCTGCAATTGACGGGACGGGTCTCCTCCGGGGGCTCCTTCAGTAGTCCCCATTTTTCCAGGAAACGCTTGCCCTCCTCTGGCGATGAAATGACGACCGTCTTCCCTTGTCTGGAGAGGATTAGCTTCGTGGGGAATCCCCACCTGTAGCGTATGCCGTGGTTGCGGAGTGCTGTAGTGGTCTGAGTGTAGTCCTTCCTGCGGCGGAGAGTGGCCGATGATATATCCGCCATGATGCGCACTGCTGGAAAGTCCGCGTGAGGGCTTTCTCTGCTGCGGTGAGAGCGGAGGACTAGCTCTTTAATGTGGAAATAATGAGCTCTAAGTAGGACGTCTCGCGGTATGGAGTCTGGCAGGTTTTTTGGCTTCGCCACCCTGTGGATCCTGTCTATCAAGAGCATGTCCGCAGGTATATCTGGGGCATATGCCCTCATGAGGCCTCGTGCGTAGGCTTGCAGGTCGTCGGGGAGGACTGTTTCAGGTACTCCCCGGAGCCGTAGGTTATTCCTGCGTGCCCTGTCTTCGTAGTCCGCCATTCGCATTTCCATATTTTCCATTCTGCATCGCAGCGCCTGTAAGTGCTCTGAGACTGTAGTTTGCGCTGAGGCAAGCTCCTGGTAATGCTGTTCCACTGCGGAGGTCCTGGATGACAGGTCTCTCACCTCCTTTTTAATTTGATCGGCCGTCGCCTGCCACGTAAAAATCAATTTTTTTGCCATTGCATCCATAGCCTGCTCAAAGTGACTCCGTGTTAGACAGTCTATAGCCTGGGAGTCATCCGGCATTGTCGGCGGCGGACTGGGTGCCATACCCTCCGCGCCCTCGTGCTCTGCCGCCCGCATGGTCTCCAACGTGGAGGAGGATTTGTGGCCGAAAAAGTTCATTTTTTCCGCCTTGATTGCAGCCTTCTTTGCTTTGGACGTAGCCATGTTATTTTTGGTTGATGTAGAGGTTTCAGCTCGCTGGAATTTGTTATTTAATGGAGCCCTCGTGCCGGAGCAAAGATTCAGACGTCCATCTTGCTCGGCGGTTAGCCACGCCCCAAGGAAATTTTTTTTATTTTTTTTTCTAGTTTGTTGAAAAATTGGAAGCGCTTCAGACTAGGTTTTTTGTCTTCTTTTGGATTAACCGCAAAAACATATGTAAGGAAGGCTGAACTTGATGGACACAAGTCTCTTTTCAGCTATGTAAATATGATGTAATGTTTGTGTTGTCTGTGATAGGTGTGATGACTGTGTGTGCTATGTGTTGGATGTGTGTGATATTTGTAACGGGTGTATTAACTGTGTGTGATATGCGTGTATTTGTTGTATGTGATATTTGTGCTGGGTTTATTGGCTGTGTGTGATGGGTATTTTCAGATAAAGAATATGCATTTAAGCCTATGTGTGAAAGCAGGTGTATATTTCTGCAGAGTTATGTGCACACAGTCCCACAGTCAGATGCACACAGGTATATATATACACTGTCAAATCCACCACATGCACACAGGTACAGGCAGTAACACACATACAGTTACATGCAGACTCCCACACACATAGACACAGGCAGACAGTCTCACAAACACACACACATTCACAGGCAGACAGTGTCATGCAGGTAGACACACACACACACACACACACACACGTTTCATCCTCAAAGATGTATCGGAGTCCCAGCAG